CCGTCGCAGGCCGTGGGCCGAGCCCGGGTTTGAACAGGCCCAAATGCCCTCGCCCGGCCGGGACCCCCCCCGACCCCCCGGGCGCGCTTTGCGACGGGCCGCGCGGCGCAGGAAGCCTCCCGCAGGCCTCGCCCCCTTGGGGGCCGGGCTGCTCGTCTTCATCCGCGGCCCCCCCTGGAATTCGTCACATGCCCCCCCGCGACTCCTCTGTGCTCTCTGCAGGAGACCCCCCCACGACTGGCTGGATGATGGGGTGGGGAGGGTGTTAGCGAGATGCTTCCAGAGGAGGAGGGGGTGGCAGGGGGCTTCTCCTTTGCCGGTTGCCTCGACCCCCCCACACACTGCTGGGACCCCATCTGGGCTGGGGGGGCTCCGATTCCCCCAGGTTCAGCTCAGAACCTGCTTTTCTAATGAGGCTTGTTCTGTGCCCACCATAGTTCTTCTTTCCCAGTATTTTCCAACAAGACGATGACCTTCCTCTCTGAACATGTGCAGAGTGTGCTTATTCATCCACCCCCCCCCCCATCCCTTTTGTTCCTTCCTACCATAAACACCATTCATTGGAGAGGATGGGAGCCATAAAAGAGGGCATTAACCATGGCTGGTTTTCTGAAAGGCAAGATAGCACCCGGCCCCAGGCCCTTCTCGGAAAGGTGGCCTCTGCCTGCTGATGCAAGAGAGCGCCAGGGGCCCTGCCCTGCGAGGGGCTTCCCGGCCAGCGCCCCAGAACGCTGGGCCAGCAGCAGGCAGCTGCCGGGCAGGTGGGCAGCCAGGCGGAGGAGGCCCGAGGGTCGCTCCCTGCAAGCGGGCAGCTTCGGGCCGGGCCAGGGGGCGCCTCCCGTGCCTTGGCAAGGCCTCCTCCTCGCCCGGGGGACCGGGCAGCGGCTCTCAGCGGGGCTCTGCTTCTCGTCCAGGCCCCGAAGCGCCCTGCAGAGACGCCTCTGGAGCCTCGTGGCCGAGGTGGGGGCCGGGGAGGCGGGGGCCACAGAGCAGCCTGTGTTCGGCGAGCCGCAGCGTGACGCTCCGGCTTGGTACCGGCTGGGCCCTGGTGCCAGGAACACACGGCCCTTTGACAACGGCTGGTGGAGGCAGGAGGGAGCCGCGAGCACCCCGGGCGGGCCGCTCTTGCCGGGCAGCGGCCCTGAGGGCGCTCCGGCTTGGCACCGTTCCGACAACAACAAATCTGTCGTGGGAGGGAGAGGCGTGTGCCTTGCGGAAGGGCCTTCGGAGGAAGGGTGTGTCCGGCGTGCGTGTCAAGCCGAGCGCGGTGATGACCTGGAGCACCCATAAAAGGAGCGCCGCTGCCAGTGCTTCCGAGCGCTTCTGCCGCGAGCATCCCGAGGAGGAGGCGCCCAGCAGGCCGGCAGGTGAGGCCAGGCAGGCAGGCGGGCAGGAGGGTGCTGCTCGCTGCCAGGGAGCTCGGCGGCTCCGCTCGGGGCCTTCGCTGAGGCTTGGGGGGGGGGGGGGACGTGCAGGGGAACCGCCTCGGCACAGGGGGCCGCCACCCGGCTGGGCCCGGGCTGCCGGGCCCGATGGGCAACCGGGAGTGAGTCTCGCTGTCCCTTCAAGAGTGCGGTGTCTCAGTCTGCCGCCCCGAGGCTCACGCCTTCTGCCATGAGCGTCCTGGGCTGCAGTCTCCTCCTCAGATGCAAGGGGAGTTACGGAGAGTTGTAGGTGTGCGTATGATGCCTGTGGAGGCTGCAGGGCAGACCCGCGAGCAGTGGGGTCCGAAGGAACTTGAATGCTGCTTCCGGGGGCAATCCTGCTCGCTCGCTCGCTCCTCTCTGGGCCTCTCTCCCCACAAGATTCCTGCCTCTGGGGAAGTGGGCCGCAGGCCACAATAGCCCCCGCCAGAGCAAAGCTCTCGGTCTTCGATGAGACACGAGGCTCGTCGTTCTGCTCGCCGTCCTGAGGATGCTTCTAAGGTGCCAGGAGATGGAATGTGTTCTGGAAAGGGAATCAGGGCAATGGGAGCGTGCAGGATGGGCGCCCGGCCAAGCGTGGCCTTCCCTGCCGTCGTTGTCCTTATCCTGCACCCCATGAAGGGGGAGGCCTGCGCTTGGCAGTCCTGCCCCGCTCCCGTGCACTCATGGCGGTGGCTTCCGTTACTCGTCGCAGAAGGGCCTCCTCACTCCTGCAGTGTCACGGAAGGCAAAAGTCACTCTCAAAGCAGCTGCCACCGGCCACACGCGGCCCTCGTCACCCGTCAGTTCTGCCAGTCCAGTCTCGGGATCATAGCGCAGTAGCGTTGGCAGGGGCCCTGAAGGCCACCGGGTCCAGCCCACTGCGATGCTGTCCTGCCCCCACCCCAGCCTTCTCCAGGCTGAACGTACCCGGGTCCTTCAGTCTCGCCTCAGGGCAGCGCTTCTGAACCCTGGATTAGCTTTGATGCTCTCCTCTGGATCTTTTCTAAATTTTCTGCATCTTGCTTACATCCTGGTGCCCAGAACTGGACACAGGAATCCAGGTGAGGTCTGACTCCTGAGGAGGGGAGCTTGGGATTTGGAGTAAGACTTCGGTTAATGCATCCCAAAATAGCACTTGCCCTTTGGCGGCTGCATCACATTGTTGGCCCATATTTAGCCTGTTGTCCACAATTACTCCAAGGTCTTTTCCTTTTTCGGTTCTGCTGAGCCACACATTCCCCATCTTGAATCGATGCGTCTGGTTTCTCTTTCCTGGGTGGCAGGCTTGGCACTTGTCCCTGTTGAATCTTGTTCTGTTGCTTTCAGCCCAGCATTCAGGTTTGTCAAGGTCTTGTGCCGAAGGGAAAGGATGTGGCCTTTCGGGCACCCTTTCCCCGTTCATCCAGGGAAGTGTGCTCCTGGAGCACAGTGCCGGGGGTGTGGCACGGGCCCTGCAGCATCGGTATCGGGGGGGGTCGGGGCAGGGGGTACACCGGGTGCCGTCCCTGCCCGGGGAGAGTGCTGGCTTCCGTGGCAGCTCGCCGGGGCTGGCCTGGCTGGCTGGTCACTGCCGGTGCTCCTGCAGGGAGAACGAGGCGGGAGCAGGCGGGGAGGTGGGCGGGCGGCACTCAGCTGGGCGCTGCTTTCAGCGCATCCGGAGTGCAGGAGGCCGCCTTCAGCGCCGGAGGACTGGGCGGCCCCGTGGGTGGCGGGCCTGGGGCGGTGGCTTCCGCGCAAATGCTCAAGGCCCCCGTCGCGGCTGGCATTCTCCCCAGCGCCTCGTGACCCCCCAGCTGGGACCCCCACAAAGTTTGGGGTGGGGGGCTAAGCTTTTCACTCACTAATATATTGCTCTGTGACTTCATTCAGATCTTGCAAAAGCCAATTTTAAGACAGGATTAGAAAGGAGAGATGAGGCATGGAATGTATTTGAATTACCCTTTCGAGACTGAAGTTACTTTAAACTAACTGTTAAATTTTATTCTGAAAATCAGAACAGAATGAACTGGGAATCCTTCAGGCTGCGAGAGGCTGCTCTTTAAATGCCCAGAGGTGGCGATTATATCGACTTGCCCACATGCCAGTCGGGCGCTCACGGGGCTCCACTCTCTGGCCGCCTTGGCCGGGGGACCACCCACCTTGACGGCCACGTCTGGAGAGTGCTGGGCCAGCCAGGGCTCCCCGGCCAGGGCCCAGCGGCCTCCCCCTGACCCGGCCCCTGTTCTTCCAGGAAAGAGACTTGCTGCTCCACCCGTCGCGATGCCAGGCGGCTGGAGGGCCCTGCCCTTCCTCCTGGGACTCCTCAGCATGGCGAAGGGGCAAACCTTCCACATGGGGAAGTGCCCGGACCCGCCGGTCCAGGAGGAGTTCGATCTTGCCAAGGTAGGCGCCGGCCCGGGGGAGCTCAGAGGCCCAGTGACCGGCAGGGTGAGGGGGCGTGCGACCCCCGGCCAGCCGTGGGAGGAGGCCATCCGGAGGCCGAGGAGGGCAGAACCGGGTTCCTTCCACGGGCAGGCGGGGTGGCTGGAGCAGGACGCAGGTGCAGAATGCGACCGACAGCCAGCCGTGACCAGCCTGTTTTCTCTCCCTCCCGCCTCTCTTTCAGTACGTGGGGAAGTGGTACGAGATTGAAAAGCTGCCCATGAGTTTTGAGAAAGGGAGGTGCATCGAGGCAAACTACTCGCTGAAAGAAAACGGGAAGGTTAAAGTGGTGAACAAGGAGCTGCTGTGAGTGCGGGCGGGCGCGGGGGTGCTGGCGAGCCGACCTTTCTCGGGTGGGGGCCCACGGGGGGGTGCGGCTCCGCAGAGCCCCCTGTCCCGGTGGGAGGTGGGTCCGGGGCGGCGCACTCACCCGGACTGCTCGCTCCGCTTTCAGCTTGGACGGCACCACCAACCAGATCGAAGGGGAGGCCTTTCCCGCCGACCATGAGGAGCCGGCCAAGCTGCAGGTCAAGTTCAACTGGTGTGAGTAGTGGCCGTGCGCAGCCGCCCCTGCCCCGCAGCCCCTGCGGCGGCAGAGCGGGAGCCCTCGGCGGGCCTGCGGTGGGAACAGGAAGGAGACCCCCCCCCCCGCAGCAGGACCGCCACCCGTGGCGCTGTCCCCAGCCCCTCGGCCCGACGGCCGTCCCGGGCAGCCGGCTGGGAGGGGCGGTGCTGGCAGAAGGTGCCGAGCAGGCCGGCTTGGGACGAGGCGGCCGCGTGGCGCCTGCAGGCACCCCTCCTGGCAAGGGGTGAGAGCGGAGGGACGGAACAGGCAGCTGCGGAGGCCAGCGGGGAAGGCAGGGTGAGCACAGGGGCCGTCTGGCCAACCGCCCCCCTTTCTGCGCGAGGCTCAGCGATGGCGAAGCCTCCATCCAGTTGTGCCGGGCGGACTTCAGAGACCCCGGCCCTGACCCCTCCTGGCAGCCTGCTGGGTTGGGAGAAAGGCGCCCCAAGCCTGCCCTCTGGTGCCCCGGCAGCTGTGTGCGGGGAGCTCCCCACGGATGGTGTGTGCTGGCCCCAGAGGCGAGCCATCCGCACAGGGCCTGAGCCGCCCCCGCTCCTCCTGGAACTGGCCCACGCCACTTCCAAGGCTGGCCAGCGCGTGGCCATCACCACTTCTCATAGCGGGAAATGCCATACAGTGTGAGCAGCATGAAGGAAGAGTTCCCTTTGCCTGCCCGAACTCCGCTTTGCTGGATTCTGGTGCGTGGAAGGCCGAAATGCCCCCTCTGCGCTTTCTCCCAGCAACACATGATTTAGAGACCTCGAGCGCATCGTCTTCTTGGCCAGGATCTCTGAGGCAAAGAGCGGCAGACAGCCGGCCCTTTCCTCATCAGACGGTCCGGGATGCCTTTTCCTGCTGATCCTGTCAGCGACTCGGGAACTGAACTTTGCACGCCGTTCCGAGTGTGGTCGGCCCTCCCTTTGTCTAATGGCCTGGAAGCACTGGCAGCTCTACCTCGGATCCATGTCCCAAGGATTCCCCCGATGGCGTTTGCCCTCTTCACAGCAGCTCAGGCAGGGTGACTTTCCCGCCAAGCGGCCCCGATCCCTTTCTGGGCCAGGCACAGCAATTCCCATCCTACCGGTGTAACACGCAGTTGGAGTGGCTGCCTCACCTCCCAGCTTGGAGAGATCCCTCTGGCTCCCCTGGCCACCCTCCTCGCTGCCCCGGAGATGCTGGCCTCCTCGGCGGACGCCTCACTGCTCCCTCCCCCAAATCGCTTGCGAGCGCCTGGGAACCCTCACCAGGGCAGTGAGCTGCATTTTCTTCTGTGTTGTTCTGGAGAAAATGGGGGCCCTTTGACCTGGGAGGGGGGACTTCTCGGCTGCCGCTCGCCTGAGCACAGGCCGCAGGCTTTGGGCTGAGGTAGCCCGCTGCCCGGCAGGCCCGGGGTCTCCTCCTGAGGGCCGCTGTCGTCTCTCGCCAGTCATGCCTGCGGCCCCGTACTGGGTGGTCTCCACCGACTACGAGAACTACGCTCTGGTGTACTCCTGCACGACGTTCCTCTGGCTCTTCCACGTGGATTATGCCTGGATTTTGTCCAGAACGCGCCAGATGCACCCGGAGACGGTGGACCACCTGAAGAGCATCCTCCAGTCCTACGAGATCGACACGGCGCGCATGAGACCCACGGACCAGAGGACCTGCCCTGCCGACATGTAGCCGCTGCCCGCCTCGCCTCGCCTGGCCTGGCCTGGCCTGGCCTGCCGCCTTCTCTGTCCGGCCCGCAGCCCCTCCGCGGCCGTTGGGGGGAAGGAGGGGTGGGCGCTTCCGCCGTCGCCTTGCATCTCCATTTACCCTCAGGAGGACCTCGCGGAGTCCCTCCCTGTGCCACGCAGCTGCTCCCACACGGGGGCTTGGCTTGCGATTCGATTCAGGCAGCCCCTTGAGATCGTGACTGGACGCCCAGCTGCCCCGGGAAGCCCCGACGCCGAGGAGCTGGGAGCACGGCACACCTGAGCGACATTCCAGACTCTCTCCAGAGGAAGCGTCAGGTTTTCTGCTCGGAATAAATGCTGCCAGTTAAGCGCTTTGCACATGCCCCGGTTGGTGTGGTTTATTCTGCTTCCGTGCTGGATGTCTGTGTGTCAGCGGCAGGAAGAGGGCAGGTCGAGACCCCGAGCAGGACCCAGGAGGAGGGCCTGAGCGGGGGGGAGCATGCCGGGAAGCGTGGCTCGGGGAAGCTCTGCCGCCCTCCCCCAGGGTGGCCGGCGCCTCCTGCCTCCGGGCTCTTGTTCCCAACCCCCCAGAGGTCGACACAGAGGAGGCTGTGCTCAGATCTGCTCGGCTCTAAGGGAAAGGGCTGTTTGGGTCACCCCTGAGCTGCTTATGGGGCTCCTGGGGCTGGGCAAGGTGGTCCCATCAGGCAAGACCCACCCACCCTGCTTTCAGCGCAAGGGCGGGAGAGGTGATTCACTGTCTGAGGGGACTGACTGCTAGCCCCCCCCCCCCCGTGGTCACAGAAATGCCACACTGCCAGCCGGCCATGACTGGTGTGCTTTCCATGCACTTCTCCAGCGATTTCCTGTTCGTGGGGTGGGGGCACGGCTTGCTGAGCAGAGGCCTTGCCTGGCACCCAGAAAGTCCTGGGTTCAGTCCCCAGCAGCATCTCCAGGTGGGGCTGGGAAAGGCCCCTGCCTGAAATCCCCAAGACCGGTGGCTGCCCGCAGCCGTCAGCTGTGCTGGGTAGACAGGCCAAGGGACAGTGGCTCCTGGTTTTCCGGCTCAGGGACATCCGTGTCGGCACAGAAACAGGAATCTGAGCAGGGCTGGAAGGGCCCTGGGGCCACAGGGACACCCTTTGCTCGGTGTGGCACGCCTGATCCAGCCATCCTGCAGAGGGGTGTCCAGCTGCGTCCTGGACGTCTCGGGGGGAGAGCCTGCCGCCTCCCCAGGGCCTTTGGTCCATGGCTGCTCCGCTCACACAGCCTGACAGCAGTGGGAGTCGCATTCGGTGCTCTGCCCTTGGCAATTGAAAAGCTTCCCTGCCTTTAATTGATTAAATTTAACTAATTTAATTTTGGTTCCCTGCCTTTAATTAATTAAATTTAATTAATAAAAGGCAGGGAACTATACTCTTAATTATAATCTTATGGGTTAACGGCTTAATTATAATCTTACGGATTCCATGTCTGCCTCCCAAGGAGTTCAGGGCAGTGCCATGCTTCTCCCCAGCCCGTCTGGACAGCAGCCCTGTGAGGTGGGCTTGGCAGAGCAGGGCTGGCCCCCGCTCCCTCCGCGAGCACCCAGGCCGGAGGGGCTCTGCTGGCCCCGCCTGGCGGGCCGGCACCTCCGGGACCGCGTTCAGGACCAGCCGAGCCAGAGCGGGGGCCCCGGGGGGCCTCGTCTCCTGCCCAGACTTCTCCAGGCAGTCGATGCCGAGCGAGCGCCAAGGACAGCTGGGCCTGGAGCGCCGCCTCGTGTCTGGCCAGCAGCACTGCAGCCCAGGATTTCGGAGGGGCCGGTCGCTCTCGCCCAGCTCATTCGCAGTGGCTCCCTCCCGCGAGCCAGCTGGGACTACCTCCTCGTGCGACCAGGATCCCCGCGTGTGGCCCTGCCGGCTTGGGCCGCTCCCCGTGCCCCGGGTTGTCTCTGTGCCTTGAACAGGCAGCAGCAAAGGGGCCCAGCCCTGCCTTTTGACCAGGGCCGCGCGGCTCGAAGACCAGACTAGGGGCATATCTGCCGTGTCTTACACTTGCAAAGGAGTAACTGCCCATTCATGAGGCAGAGAGCTTGCTTCCCTCCCATCAGAGTTTCCACACAGGTATTATGGCAGATACAGGCACAGAAAGCAGCGGGAGACTTTTCTCTGTTTCTCATAAAACCCAGACCCAAAGGGGCCATCCCACGAAGCTGAGTGGTGAGAGAGTCCAGGCAGATCAAGGGCCTCCTTTGCTCGGTGCATTCAGATGCGCTCAGCTCTGAAATTCACATCCGGAGGGTGCAGAGAGGGGCTGCAAATTCAAGCAGGTGGCCGCAATCCGTGTCCGAGAGTCCTTGTGGCTATCTGCTCCCTCCAGGACAAGTGTGAGAATGCCCTGCCCCATCTTCCACCTCGCATCCTCCCCTTTGGCATCCCTGTGAAGCCCCAGTCGCACCTCAGAACCCGGGGAGACTCCCGAGGCTGGGTCACACCCAGAGTCCCTCCAGGCTGGCATTCCACTGTCGGGAGCCTCCCTGGCAGCTGCAACTCAGGATAACCGGGTTCGGCCGGGAAAGACCCCTCTCACCTTGAACCTCAGCAGTTTTGTTGAAAGATCACTCAGCCCCCCTGCAGCGACAGGGTAGCGGTTTGCACTGCCAACTACAAAATCACGGTCCATGCGCAGGCATTTTTATAACTTGCTAGTCACATAGACCAGTATGGAGTGTTACGTTTCCAGATGATGTTAGTACACAGCATCCTGGTGTCTAAACCAATCAGAAATACTGGCAACAATAGCATGGAAAACATTGCTGGTGGCTTTATTGATGTGTCAGTACAGATTTCTTTGCAGTTTGGATCCTGCTCAGACTAGCAAATGTGTCTGACGGAGGAACCATTCAGGAAATCTGGGTTGGCAACTCCACTGTGCAGGCGCTTGCCTCTGCGGGACCAGAGGCTCAAATGGGCCCATTCAGGAACAAATGGGCCCATTGTCCCGTTTCTCCTGCAGCTGATGAGAACACGGATGGGGGCTGCCTGCAGCAGCTTCTCAGCCCGGTTAAGAACTCCATCTTCTTAAAGTAACAGCAGCACTAAACAGTGACCTGGCTCAGCATGTTGGTGCCTTCTGAGAAAGGGGCGCTGGCATTTTATAACACGAAGGCACATATCAGCAACCTCCTTCTGCCAGGATTTATCTGAATCTTCCCAACACCGCCTATGCAGCAGCCCACCACCAGCCCGTGGACAACCCACAAACAGCCTTGTGCCTGACGCAGGGGGACCCAGCCGCCATTCCCGAGGCACCTGCCATGAACGCACCCGGTCCAGGCGTCCAGCCAGCCTCTGGGTGCGCAGGTGGAGCCCTGGTGCTGCACGATGGTGTGCTGGGTGAAGAAGCCGCTCCTTTGAGTCAATGATGCCCGAAGAAGGCAGGACTGCCCCCTGGGGGTGGTGGAAAGATGGGCGAAGAACAAGGGGGTTATGGGGACATTGGGAGATTACGGATTAACCCCCCCCGCGGCCCTGAAAACCTCCCTCCCTACATCATTACAACGATACGTGAAAAGCATGTTTAAATGCACAAGCCCGAGCCAAACGAAACCCCCCAAAACGGACGATTACGACGGCACGTAGGCACCGATGTGAGCAGCGTGTTGGGCCAGAGGAGTGAGATTTCCAGATTACGTTCCCCTTTATTAATCTGCCGGGTGCACTGAGGGAGCGCTCCGACAAGGGCTCGGCAAAGGGCCCGAACTGCAAGCGGCGCCTCCTCGCGGAGCAGCGGAAAACGCGCCGGCTGCCCGGAGGGGGCCCGGCCCGGCGGCTCCCGAAGAGGCTTCGCCCGCTCTGCGCAGGGCGGCCGGGATCGCTGCCCGCGGCCAGGCGGAGGCCCGCTCCCGAGGCCCGCGGCGCAGCGCCGAGCGGCTCCCGTGCGCGCAGGGCCGGCGGGGAGGGCCGGGCCTGGGCCCGGGCCCGCTCGCTCCCGCGCCGCGCACTCGCCACATGCCCAGGGGCACCGCCGCGCGGTTGTGACGCCACACAACGCCCGCCGAGGCACCGCCCGCCCGCGACGTCACAGGCCCGCGTCTCCCCGCTGCGCGTGCGCGTGCGCGGCGCGGCCGGCGTCGTGAGGCGGTTCCGAGCGGCGGCTGCGAGCGAGGCCCTCGGCCGGGCAGCGCAGCCGGAGGAGGAGCGGCCCAGC